AATGAATTGAAAATAGCATCTTCTTAGATAATAATAAATTCCGCCAACGCCAAGCTAATGAAGTTTTTGGGCTGAAATTTTTACCACTTATTAAGGGTGCAAAAAGCTTAAAAAGTCCTGAATTACAAGTGTCTGCGATGAAAATTACATTAATTATTAGCAATTGAAAAAAGCGGACAATTTCGACCATTTTTGAGCTCTTGCGCATAAACAAATTATCGGAATTTAATCGGACTTGTCTTATTTTACAGATTTATTTAATACTTACCTTTTTTTGTATAAACCTTTTTTTCTCTATGAATAACAGTTTTCCAACTAGTCTCGAGCTGATTTTTTGATATTTTGTTTATAACACGTTTCTGAACAATATTCCGCAGAGAAACTTCTAATAGTATTTTTTCCCGAAAAAAAGCTATAATGATTGGCCTATAGAGAGAACTATGCCAATTGGTATTGAGCAATGTCGAAGTTATGGAAAATACGTCAGTAATAAAAACGCCATACCAAAAATCAATGTATCACCAAGTCTTACTGTCATTGAATCATTTTATTATTATCTTCAAAGATTATACTACCATTCATCTTTTGTTCAAGCAATAAATGAGTCAGGAATTTAGTTACAATTACGACTTTCAACAGAAAACAAAATTTTCAAAGTATCTGTTTCTAAACTATACATTGCTTTTAACTGACATCGTACAATAAAAACATGCAAAAATTATTTAGTGCATAGGCTCTTATAAAAACTAGGTTTTTTTTTCATTTTTGCCAAGTTTGTAGATAAAACAGACAGCAAACACTAAAGACCTACGTTTAATTGAGTTTACGGAAAAGGAATCTTATTTTTGTATTTGCGCGACTGAAATGATGCACCTCCGCAACCCAAAAACAAAGTATTCTGGCATACTTAATTAGGACTCGAGTTGGAACAACCGCAGGCCCGAACAACCGGGTGTTTTCTCGAAAAAACGCCTGTCCGAACTGGTCACGTAGCAGAAATTGATACATCCCATCGCATTCGTTACAATGTAGACATGCGAGGGGTAATTAAATTTCTCGAGGAGACGGCCGCAGAATGTAAAGCGGGATTATTCCGGTTAGTCATTACGTGGAGCGACTGACTGTGCGTTGTCCGGCGAACTAAGCAAATGCGACATCGACGCGGGGGGATCGTTGCTGCTTCCCTCATCAGTAGCGCAGCAAAGAAAATCTATGAGGAGGAAAAACAAGGAAATGAGGTCTTTCCCAGCTTTGGAAGAAAGTGTGTCAATCTTCTACAGATTTAGATGAATTATTTCCAACAAAAACTTAAGAACTTTGTCTTTTTTTCGTAGGATACACAGTTCACAAGAAAAAGTAGAGAATCGTGATAGTGTTGACAGCTCCAACTCCAATTGCTCCAATTTGCTTGCTTTCAATTAAGTCATGCTTTTTGGACTTTTAACTATGAACGGTGCATTTTTAGAAAAAAAAGTCAAGAGGCAAAAAGGTGATTGGAAATACTCCATCGCAATGGATAAATTTTCTCTTTAATATTAACTAACTCATTTCTAATAACTTCGACTCTTAAGGCCACGTATTATTCAGACACCGTTCGTTAGATCTCTTTTAATTCTTTCGATAAGGATTTGCACAATATGAAGTTTGAAGTCTATATTTTCTGTGGTTTTGGACTTACCTATTGACCAAAAATATTCATGAAACGTTCGGATTCATAGGTCCTATAACCACGTATAGCTCGATAGTTTCTAATCTAGTAGTCCACAAAAGATAACCAAAGCCAAAGGATTTGGTTTACAAAGATAAATCTTTGAGACTGGAAAAATCAACTCCAAACTGTCAGTTTCTCTGGAAATCCTTCTGGATTAGCTACTTCTTTTTATATTATAGGAGAGAGAGAGAGAGACAAGTGTGCAGTTTAGAAATCAAGGTAAGTGATTATTAAAATGTCGAGAGCTGACACCATGGAACACATCAGATTGCTAGAGGATTTGAGGAGAGTCATAGATACTGTCCGAGGACCAAACTGTCCATAAGAATACCTATGCAACTATCTATGCCATACAACCTTGTGTATGGCATAGCTTTATTGGATGTTACCGATATAACTAAGGACGATATGACACTGAAAAAGCTCTAGCGTGGTTAGGAATAACAAGACAGAGATTCTAGTCTGGATACCTTGTCAATCAAGTCTTACCACTGGCCAGATTAGCTCACTCGACGGTGTTTATGACATACCTCTTAAAAAGAAAGCAAAAAATTTGTTGAAGGTAAAAAGGATACATCTGCGAGTTCTAGTTACTTGTTTCATATTTTTCGGATATTTAAATGTGGATGGTACTTTTTACGAAAAAAATGTTAAAAGATACAAAATTTTCGATTAAGAATAGTCTTTCACAATGTGTGAAAGAAAATATGCGGTCGTTTACAAGACATGACATCCGAAACAGAAACGATGACTGGAGGAGCTTCACAGCATCAGCTTCTTTTCTGATTTGCCACTTCTCCATTATTATTCTAGAGAGATGTCGATGAGTATTGTACAGATTAAGATAAGTGGCTATTAAAATGATGAAGAATGATCGTGGGACAGAACAAATTGTTAGAAGATTTGGGAAACCTCACGCTCAAACCTAGCGATGACCTCAGATGTTATGTCTATACGAATAATCTATAAATTGCTTTTCAAAATTCATAGGATAGAAACAGAACTAACTTTTTAAGTGGAGATAGCTGTTGGTACAGCAGATACTCTAAATGAAAGGGGATGAAGAAGCAAGGTCGAAACCCGACATCTGGTAGCTCTTATGGTTTGTTTTCTGAGTCATAATGAGATATCACCTACAGCAACCGTACTTAGAAAATGAGGAAACATCAGAACACTTATAATCTGTCGCTGAATCGCCTGCGGAACGGAATAAGTTTTCTATATTTGGCACAATATATACAACTCCAGCTGCACTTACCCAACAAGGTTAAGGGCCTTGTTAAACAGCTGAACCTGTTGGTTGAAATATAATTTTAGAGAATCAAACAGAAAACTACATACTAAATTTGAATGAAATTAATGAATTTATATGAATCGCCCTACAAACTAATTTATTTTTAAAAGATACTAAGATACTCAAATACAAATTGTAGTGTTTGTTCTACACCCATTACATCTGATCCAATAAATTGGCGAAAGAGTTGACCAGGTTATATACTGATCTATAGCACAAAAATTATGGTAAATTTCTTTACTTAGATTCAATGAACGCGCAAAAAAAATTGTGACATAACTAGTTCCAAATTTATGCCTATTTTGATTACTTTTGTATTATGTCGGAGAGTGGTTATTAAATAAATCATTGCAATACTTTTTTAGGGAAGTACTTTCAAGATAAAATTTTTAGACAAAAGTTGTAGGGTTCTGAAGGTGACATTCTATGGTGACCGACATAAAGGTCAACCGTAGAGGTCATTTGAAGGTCAACGGAAATGGATAGAGCGGTAAATTTTATGTTCAGATATGTCTTTACGTTATGGGTCAAAGTGACTCTAAAGGGTTATTTTCAAATAAGCTTCTGAATAAGATTTTGCGATATGTTTCGGAAATGTACGAATTTACGACGAAAGATTCTTGTTTCTGGTTCTGAAAGTTTTGTGGTTTGATGGGATGATACAATAACCTAGAAGTCAAGTCTGAAAGTTCTTCGAAGGTCAAATCAAGGTACGAAATAGGAGAACCCTGTTTGCAAGCCCATTAAGTTAAAGCAAAATCGCTATGGCCCAGTTAGTCAAGGCAACATCGCTAAAACCCGGCAAGTCAAGGCAAGGTCACTATGACCCGGCTATGACCTTCAAATAACCTTCAAGCTTGATCTCTACGTTATAGTCAATGTCTTCATCGAATGATCCCATCAAACCATAAAACTTTCAACCAGAATCCGTCGTCGTAAGTACTTTCCCGAAAAATATCGTAAAATCTTATTCAGAATCTTATTTACGGTCACTTTGGCTCATAACATAAGAGCATATATACGTAAAATTTTCTACTATATCCATTTCCGGTGTCAGAAATACATTCATAATATCTAAAAATCCAAGTTGACCTTCAAATGACCTCTACGGCTGACCTTTGTGTCTAGGTAAAGGTCACCATTGAATGTCCTCAGGACCCCAGTCTAAAAGAAATCTCTTGAAAGTGCTTCCCGAAGAAGATATTGCAATGTGTTATTTACAATGGGACAGAGGTGCACTAGCGAAAAGTTATTATTCGACAATCGACTATGAATCTTACTATTAGTTGCTTTTTATTCAATAGTGCCAACTATTATTACACCCCACAATTCTGAAACTCATGAACGATTTCAATTGTAAAAGTTGGTAAGTAGACAGCTTTACAATTGACTAAAAAGGAGGTAACATATAAGATGTCACAAATATAGCGCCTGTGTTTACTTTTTCGTTGGCACAATACAACGAAATAGAACAGGACTCCCAACTATTGACTATTTCATAATTTACCTGGCTATTTTTAATTTGGGATACTGAATACATACTCAGATTTGCTATTAAACCTACCATTTAGTTATAATTAAAATAATAAATTGGGTGTGTCAGACCACTGGGCAGTTTACTTAAAAAGACAATAGGCGTGGTTGTGCGAAACGAGAAACTATAACTAGAAAATCCTATTAATATAGATAACGAGTGTGGCATTAATATTTTCTATTTGTAATTATTTGTTTTTGCGTGTAGTTCTTCATAGTAAACGCCGTATTGGGAACCATCTAAAAATAATACTCGGAATGGTTATTCTCATATTCCTATGCAGGCAGCCTTTCACTCCCGCTTGGGTGTTCGTTGCAAAGCTCCGTCGACCGTCGACCCCGCCTCAATTTTCCTCTACGTAAGCGCCATAGCAAGCTTCCACCGAGCGTTTCCGGGTATGCACGAGAGAGCTTGAACGAAGTCATGTCGTTCTCCAGTGGAATCAGTGAGCGAACGCCATGTAAAGACGAGGCAAAAACGACGTTTTGCGCTTGAATTTATACAGAAAAAAAAGTATATCAAAAAACCGGGACGCGGGTACGCGACGTCACACGGAAACTTTGGCATTCTTCGATTGAAAATTCAGTGTTACAAAGTGATTGTTGATTTTAAATTCCCGTGTTTGTGATTGTTGTTCAATTGTTGACGAAGAAAATGTGATCGTTTTCTGTTCGTGTTTCGGTGGTTCTTCCAGTTGATATTTTTGTTTGTATTGCGACTGTGGTGGTAGTGTTGTTCAGTTTTTGGGATATTACATCGATCTTTGAAGACGGTAGTCCGCTGTAAATGTGAGTTCCTCCGCTTTGCCCTTATCTGCCCTTCTAGAACACTGGAACGGTAGTTTTAGTTCGTAGTACGACTCTTGCACATCGCTATCGATTTCAAAGTTAGAAAAACGTAAACTGCGTATGTTTTTCAAACAGTAAACTGTATTTGATATTGTAAAAGCGCAAATAGCAATCTTTTAATATTACCGAATATATTCAATGAATATTTGAAAATTAAATGCAAAACATGTTACAACTAACTTTAATACTCGCTTTAATACAATGAGTTAAGTATCTTCTTGAACATAAGTGTAAACATAACGCTAGATATTGAACTAAATGTCTTGTTTCTAGAAACAGAATGTAGGTCTTTTAAAACACTAGGCTAAAATATTTAATTCTGCAATTTTTTTCTCTTAAATATCTTTCGGGCCTTTCTTTCAAATACACTTTTGTGATTCTCCATGTGTCTATAAGTTACATTAAAAAAAAAGAAGTCACTTAAAGCAAAGAAATGTAGATTGTTTTCTAATACGCAGTTTTTCAATAACCCGGGAAACTACCAGATATCCTAACTAAACTTCCTTAAATAATATGATCTTGAAGATAAAGTATATGTAAGTACCTATATGCAAACAGGATGTAAGAGATATACCTGGGTATTTATCAGTTGTTCTCAAATTCAGCATCCATTTTGGTATTTCATAGGTATGTCATAATTTTCTCTAGAAAAAATAAAATCTTGTAAGAAGTAGGCATATTAATACAAAAACTTTTATCCCAAATAACTTAATATGTCCAATAGTACTACCATAGTATATTTGTACTGAATGCTACTTACGTTAGGTAAAACAAAATTGAAGAGTACTTCTAATTTATCTTTAAAAAATCAATTCCTGCGCTTTTAAAAATATTTCGTATTAAAATATTTCAGAAATGTGACAGACTTCTAATGTTAAATCCTTTCTAGTAATAGTAATAGTAATAATACTGCTGGGTACATATCTCAGAAGGCTATTGTAAAGTAATATCCAAGAAATCTTCTACATGACTCTTCTTCATGGTTATTATTCCGGTTATAAGCGAAGTTCTAGTACATTTAAAAGAAGTTTTAAGGGTCGTTTCGTTTAAGATCTTCCAACTTTTTTTGCCTTAGTAATAAACGTAACTCCATTTTCCTAGCGGCAACTTTTTTTGTAACGGAAAACTTCAGGCAAACAAAGCAAGGCAAAGGGAATTAGAAGCTTAATCCTACTGCAATGTAAAAGGGTGTTACAAAGTAGATAACAAATTGGTTTTAAGTGTTACGGTATTGAATTGGGTATATAGTTCTATTTTTATCGAGATACCTATCGACAATATTTGCTGTTTACTTTGGACCGTATCTGTGATGAGGTACCAATTTGAAAAACGGGGAATTTTGTGTTGGGTTTTGGATTCGATTACTCTGCAATACGAGACTGGTTTAAAAAACTATGGTCTTAAGAATAATGTTCTGTTTGCATTTACACTAATGACTTTTCTATAAATATCATAAAAAAACACCTTTAATGAGCTTGGTCTCTGATATTTTACAGTAGAACACCTATACCTTCATAAATTGAAGATAAATAAAACATTTCATAATATATCTTTATTACAAATTTCTGGTACGTATTACTCAGAATATCCTAGAAATCTCGGTAGAAATACTACGCAGTGTATGCTCCGAAAACCGAGCTGTTTAGAGGCGGCTTTCATGAAAACGTAGTAACTTAATATTGATTCACTGGAGTAAATAATACAATTGAAATTTCCGAACGATTTTCCGGGAATATATTTATATTTCAATAAGAACTTATTATACGCACGTATTTGATAATCACGAAGGGCATATTTTAATTGAAACTAATGTCATTTAGCATTCATCTATTTTAATTGTAAAATTGAAATCAAAACTATTGCATTTTAGGTTTTTTTTGTACAAGCTAGCATTATATGTGTATTAAAACAATTGTTTACAACATATGTACGATACGCATGGATCGTCTCCCCCCTTACCGACCACCCCTACCTCTCCATATTATTTGAGTAATATTTGTAATTACGCAAGTGCCTATTTTCGTGTTCAAATTTTGACTAGTAGTTTCCCTCTCGTTTTTTATACGTCTAACAACTGACTTAAAATTAGATCTTCAAAAATGTTATAAACTACTTACTTAATTATTTTTCAGTACAACCTCTTCCGACAGATGTTACTTTTCCTACAAACAACAATCTTAATAAAAAACAACTTAGCAAAATGCTTTTAAGGACTAGATCTCAGTTCTACGGAAAATATAGGAATTTATAGAACTAAACAGAACTAAAAAGTAATAGAAATCATACGAAATTTAATTTAAATACCTACATTTCGCATTCAACTCAGCCGAGAATAAACCTCTTCTAATCTCAGTCAAATTCATCATACGTATGTCATTTGTTTAATGTTATCTTAACCTTTACTTACAGTACTTTGTTTTACCTAAATGTCAATGTTTTAACATATTTTTTAATTTGATCTATATTTACTTTGCATGTGCATAAAAGTGTTACAAAAAAAAAATGTTGAAATCTTAAACTCAAAGTAATTTTCTTGGTATTGTTGACTAAATTTTCCATTACAACCTCGATTATAACTACTCCAATATGTTTCCCTAAAACAAAGACAGAGCAGCCTCTAGAAACACTACCTAGATTTTAGTTTTTGAAAAGCAGGTTGGTTCATGACTTATTTATGATGGTTTCAACCATCGTTTTATGGTTGTCTGGAAATAGATATCTCATTAAATCAATTTGCTTGCAGTATAACAAGGGGGGGATCACTGGCCAAAAGTTGTTGATGAAAATATTCATTTTCATCTTTAATCACTCAAATATTACTCAAAAATAATAGATAAGAGGTAGACAGCACGGGGTGGCGATATACTTGAATATTGCCGAGGTACTACTCAAGTTTTTGCAACAATTTACTCCCACGGCAGCTGCTTGGAAGAAAGGTACAAAATATAAGTGTAAAATAAAACATAAGAGGTACATTTAGGTAGGTGTATTAAGACGAATATGAGGATAATACAATCGTGGATTAAGAGAGTTTAAAATTTACATTGTTACATTTTTATCGTTTTTATCGTAAAAAAACGCTTCGCGCGAATTGGAATTATTTCATTCCATTACATTGCAACATTTTTGGATAACAAAAATTTGTAGATAAATCCGAGGATAAATCATTTAGCATCAAGAGGATTAACTTTGGGATCAGTTGCAATTAAAAAGGATGTCGAAATCAATATGGACGTTTCACTAACACCTGTCAATTCCACAGGAACAGGACGCCCATTTGGTAAAAAATTTCTACAATGTTTTTTGTTTTACATACAATTTTAGTTATAGGTATTACCAATCCGTATTTCTATAGGTTCTGGTAATGAAAACCTTTTCCATAGGCATTAAATTATCATTATGAAATATGATTATTTATATACCGTGCCATTTTGAATTAGTAAACGAAAATTTAGACCTTTTATATACGGGAATATTAAAAGAAGGTACTTATTAGAGTAGAAAAGGCCTCGAAAAAGGCTAGATCCAGATGACGATTTAATAAGGAATTTGGATGAGTTAAATCTTTAAATTCTTTCAATTAGACATTTCTTTGTTATAAGAAAATAAAGCGCGTTTACGAGGGGGAAATCATTGACTAATTTAATACACAAATAGCACTGAAACATTACTCACAATTACTCAGTTTTACTCAGTTATTATTCAAGCTTCTAGACTGAATTATCCCTGAGGTTTTTCCCTGAAAAGAAAAGACAGTAGTTGCCACTTAATATTCTAGTAATTGCCACCACTTTATACCTCATTTTTTAAAAGTACTCCAGGAACTCCATGGGTTTTTGCAACTGAGAAGAATAGCATGGTATTACTTAGGCAATGTAATAATTTATTGACTGAGTTGAAAAACATTTATTTTCCTCTTTGCGTGCCCTTCCACCTGTACCAATAGTTGATTTTTTTTAACCAATAATAGCGAGCTTAACATGACGGTGGCGATAGCGAGCAACAGTAACTGTTATTGCAGCCATATTTTCGAAGAATGGTCCGATGATGCAGCCAGTCCAAATTCTACACCAAAAATAACACGTTGTGGATACATTTGTGACTCGTGACTTTTCTGAACCCCAAATGCAACAATTTTGTCGATTGACGAGGTCATCAAGATGAAAATGAGCCTCATCGGTGAAGATGATTTTGTTCGAAAAATCAGCATCCACTTGTTGTTGCTCCATCTATTCCACGAACTCCTTCGCTCTGCGTGCTCAGTAGGCTTCAGTTCTTGAGTCAATTGAACTTTGTAAGCATGAAGGTGCAAATCTTTCGTGAGAATATTCTGTTGAGAGCTTTGAGAAATGTCTAGTTCTTGACCACGGTGACGAATTGATGTTGTTCCTGGACTCTCAGCAACACTGTCACGAACACGAACTGTTTCGATGTTTTGTGTTGAACGACTTGAAGGACAGCCAGAGTGTTTAAGATCACTAATTGATCCAGTCTTCCGGAATTTTTCAAAAAATCTCTTCACGGTCGATGGAGTTACATCACTATCTCACGAAAACGCGTTGTTCCTTCCAGTAGCGCTCCATTTTTAATAAGCCTGAACACTTTTTTTTCGTTGGCATCACCTTACCGCTCAAATGGCGCCAAATTCAAATTTTGCGTGATTTTTGGCCTAGCCAAAAGGTGAACACTAAAATATACACTTTCATAGTTAATTACTCGGATATGACTCTAATAATAAATAGAGGCTGGAGTGATGGAGGAAATGACGCAAATGTGAGGTAAATAATTGATTGAACACTCAAATATTACTAAAGTATTGCCTAAATATTTCCCCCACTGTTATTATTGAGTTCGCTTGCACGTTTTTTTACCATTTGTTTAGGGCACATTCTGATACAATCAAAACTTCAAAGAGGTGGGTTTGGTGTAAAGTTAACGCG